AAACGGTAAATGTTCTCGGTCTGATCAAACGCCTCGACTCACCGTCAGCGGGTGCTTCTTCTCATCGAATATGTCCAGCGTGCGGTTGGAGTCTCTGCAGGAGAAGGACATAAAGCAAAGTTAAATATTATAGGATTGTTTTCCCCTTGTACCAAAAGGCATACCTGTGGGGGTTTAAATGTGTTTGGTTTTCTCACTTCAGCCTTACACTAAATGGCATTTCAATTATATGATGAACACATCTATCTATCTAACTTACTGACTGCCTATGGCTTATCGGAAAACCATTATAGGTTGATAAACCATGGTACAAATTATTTTTTGTTTTCAAACTGACTGACTACCTCACTGACTAGCTACCTGCCTCACTGACTAGCTACCTGCCTCACTGACTAGCTACCTGCCTCACTGACTAGCTACCTGCCTCACTGACTAGCTACCTGCCTCACTGACTAGCTACCTGCATCACTTACTAGCTACCTGCCTCACTGACTAGCTACCTGCCTCACTGACTAGCTACCTGCATCACTTACTAGCTACCTGCCTCACTTACTAGCTACCTGCCTCACTGACTAGCTACCTGCCTCACTGACTAGCTACCTGCCTCATTGACTAGCTACCTGCCTCATTGACTAGCTACCTGCCTCACTGACTAGCTACCTGCCTCACTGACTAGCTACCTGCCTCACTGACTAGCTACCTAGTGACTAGCTACCTGCCTCACTGACTAGCTACCTGCCTCACTGACTAGCTACCTGCCTCACTGACTAGCTACCTGCCTCACTGACTAGCTACCTGCCTCACTGACTAGCTACCTGCCTCACTGACTAGCTACCTGCCTCACTGACTAGCTACCTGCCCTCACTGACTAGCTACCTGCCTCACTGACTAGCTACCTGCCTCACTGACTAGCTACCTGCCTCACTGACTAGCTACCTGCCTCACTGACTAGCTACCTGCCTCACTGACTAGCCGGCTCCTAACAAAATGGTCCCATTATGATAGAGATGAAGATGAAACAGTATTAAAAACACAACAGCAGTGGAATGTATGATATATAACAAACTGTTCTTACCTGTTCTTTATGTGATAGTACATGGCCAATGCGACACTGGAACAAAGAGAAACCGACATTGATAAGCAGAGAACCACTGGTTGTGATTTCAGCCTGGCTGCGTTTGAAATGTCTTCCAATATCCGCCGTAACTTTACCGGCTGCTATGTATCACGTTTGTCGGAATGGGACTGAAGCACATATTGATATTTTATCTGCATTTTAGTAAAGAGGCCGATGTAAGACATTGCTAACAACGGGTTAGCGTGTCAGCTCGAAGCAGAATAGCTGAAATAATAATGTTTTGAGAAGTGAGGGACAAAGCCCATGACTCTTTCCTTGTCCCATGACCACAATTTGCTCAAAAGGAAAGCAGCAAACTAAATTACAAAAGATAAACTACTACTGTGAAGATATTTCAGAGGCGAGGGAGTGTCACTTACCATTTGATCGTGCTCTTGAGGTTGGGCTGGCTGACGGTGCTGTCATCGATGAATATTGTTGAGCAGGAACTGTACTTCTTTGTCAGCTGCCCAGGGGACATCTGCAAGGGAGGAGGGAATGGAGCATGCTTACAATGAGTGGAGGGATACCTGTTAAAGTTTGGATGTTTTAAAGTGGGGCTGTATGAGGTACTTTACCCTATTCAGTGTTTTACCTACAGATGCTGGAATTGGGAATGTGCTGCGTCTTGATATTGCTGCTCCCACCATCACAAATTACTAGGGATGTAACAATACCAAAAACTCACGGTACGATAATATCGCGATAAAAAGTCCACGGTACGATATTTATCGCGATAAAAAGTACGATATTTATCGCGATATTGAAAAATAAAGGGAAAAATCTTCTTGATTTTATTTTTCTTTATTAAATAATAAATCTGATTTGTACAGCATTTTAGTAGAATAGTAGTATTTTAAAGTGTCAACAATATAATAATCAGATCCTGCAATAGAATAAATCAAGTTTCACTTTAGTTTTTAACTCAATTCTAACTCACTAACACATCATCAAGGTTATCTTTTAGGAATATGAGCATGTCCACATTTCAGGTAGAAGATGGGATGTTTGGGCGTTTACAATATCCCCTGCTGTGGAAAAACTCTCTTGCTTGGTACTGATGTTGCTGGGACAGAGAGATATGCTTTGGCCATGGGTGACAGCAGTGGGTCAAACTGTGCATTGTCTCTCCACCACTTCAAAAACAATACAGTTTTTGTCAAGAAGGTGAGGCTTATTGACAGGGCGAGATATAAATATACTGTTGGTACTTGTCTATGTCTCTAGGTATGTACATGTAGCCCTGTAAATACGATGTCCTTTTGTGTTATGTTCATGTTGTAACCTACTTGCTGCCAAGTTGGACAGGTCTCCCTTGAAAAAGAGATCGATGATCTCAATGGGACCATCTGGTTAAATAAAGGTTTAAAAAATAAATAAATAAATTGCGGTAGATTTTGTCAGTCTCACAATGGTATTGAGATATTTATTTACCGCGATATTCGATATATCGTTACATCCCAACAAATTACATTACTTAGCTTCAGATTACGGATAAGTACCTTAAAGAGCCCCACAGCAATACATCCTTTTAAACATTTAATTAAGCGAATGGCATTTCTGGTTCAAATTTCGCCCAAGTGTAAGAAAAACGTAAGCATCAAGTACACGCAGACCTGTCACTTACATGATTCAAGTAGTTGCTTTTCCTCTTCTCACGCACTGAAATATTAAAAAATAAAATAAGAAGTCAGTGGGTTTAGGAGATTCAGAGGGTGTAAAACAGACTATTGGTGATGGCTTTAGCAGGGAATATTGACCGTCTGTCTGCGACTTGTTGAGGAAGAGGGTGCTGGCTCTGGGGTGGTCTGATGGGTTTGACTCTTGGGCCAGCTCTGTAAGAACAAGTGGAAAGCATTAAAATACTGACTCGGTTTGTCCCAAAAGTCTCCATAATGATGCTATGTTGCCAAGTGTCCCAAAAAAGAAGCCAAATGATTCATCACCCACCGTCCGGGAGCTCCCTGTCGCTGATGTGCTGCAGGTAGGTGCCAGTGTCCTCGCTCACGTCCTCGGTGGTGGTGATGGGACACTCCTCCAGCTCCACCTCCCTCCTGTGGATCTTGGGACTCTCTCCAGGAGAGATGCAGCAAGACACTGAACCTCCCATCTTTGACCTACAACAGTCCTGCTACAGCCAGCAATGTTTCCCATACAACTCCTGCAGCTTAGGTTTAATCTAAATCCTCTAAGTGGCAGTCAATGAAAGAAACCCCAATCTAAAGCTGACTGACTCTTCAGATAAAGCATTTAGTTTACTAGGACCCAATCTAGCCTGTATTTTTGGCAGCAAAGTGAAGAATTCTGCTTCAGAGTTGAATGGGATTTAATGACAGCCAACTGGGTGTCTGCAGTATGTGCAGGACAGCTGACATTTTCAGGGCGTGTGCGCAGCATAGCACTGGTGCACTTTAATAACAACAACACGCGTGAACTTAATACTTTTTGGGCGTTAAATGACTAATATTAGCTAATGTTATTGAATAAAAGCTAACATACAAAGTCACAGGCTCCTCTAGCTCCCTCCATAGCTAGCCGGCTAATGCTAGCTTCCGCAGCTCAATCCATTCCTGGCTTGCATGGAATAATTCATATTTTACTGCAGTTACAGTCCCTGTCACACTTAAAGGCTTATCTACAAGAATACACTTTACATTACCCAACTGGAAACAACTCCTTGGATCAATAAATACGTGAAAAGATAACGAGTTTTGGAATTTTTAAGAGGTAGCCAACGTTAGCTCTCATCTCGTCGCATTTGCAGGAGACACGTCTTGTATGTCAAATTCAACGCAGCACTGAAAGTTCAGATATAACTTCCGGCTACTGATTTTCAAAGTAAAAGTCCTCTTGTATTTGATGGTGTCATGGTCTTAACATTCTTATTTAGTGAGTGACGTATATTTTATATCTGGTAATGTGTGTGCTAATTATTCAGTTCAAAATTAAAACCGTTAACTTCATGCAAGGACATTTTATTCATAAAAAAACTATACTTAAAATAAAAATCCTGATTTCTCCAGCTTTTAATTAAGTTAATTTGCTTATTTTGTTCAAGTTTTACATTAATTCAGAATAGTATTACTTATCTTATCTTAAAAACCTGTAAAAAAATATATACAATACAATATGCATCATGGTTCTGAATAGAAAACGCCCCTCATGTTAGGTTCAAAAGTGTTTATGTGATGAAGCTTTTATTTCCAGATTGCCATGCTTTTATTTTGTGTACAGGAACGCAGGTAAAACGGAAACTGTGTTGGTGCTATGTGTTGTGGTTGTGAGCTTTGCAGGCACCGCCCCCTTAATTAAATAGAAAACACGGCCGTTGAGAAAATCCTTTGCGTGTACGCCCATTTTAAAACCAGGCTTGCTCATTGGTCACTTTTAGCAAAGCTGTTACATGATTGGTTGAAATTGCTCATTGATGAGGAGTGGGCTGGGAAATGAGTCTTGCAAATACGCTACAATGTTTAATAACGCAAAACCTCTGAAGTTGCTTGTTCCTAAAAGAAACAGGAAATGTTATGATGATTTAGAAGAAACAGACGACGGAATTATTTAAACTAAATTGGCACTGAAGTACATGCAAACCACCAGAAGATGGAGGTATTGACTGAGTAAAAGTGCCAGAAGCCTTTCCAAAGAAAGTCAGAAATCAGGAAGCTTGGAATTTTGAACAACCGAATCTCAAATGAAATGTTAGAAATTGGGTCAGGGAGACTATTACATTATTCAAGTAAAAAATAAAAATAAAATAAAAATACATTTGTTTATTTTTGAAGGTTGATAATTCTGGTCCACACTCCAATGCAGTAGAAGGCGGTAATGCACCTTTAACGCTGGTTGCCAACTGCCATAAAAATCAAAAGAAGAAGAACCATAGTGCGCATGCGTGAAGTCGGTAAAATACACCATTGTTTTGTTTCTACCCCTTTTATAAAAGCATGGCTCTGGTTCCGTACGTAGAAAATCCGTTACCTGCGCTTTCTAAACTCCATAATTCATCAGCACAGTTTCGCTTTGCTAACCATGACCTCCATCTTACCCAGGACTGGAAGAAACTCGGGGTAGCAGCGGTTGTTTGGGATGCGGTAAGTGACACATTGGTGTTAACATTAATAGCCTACTAACGTTTTATTATTTGACTACAAGTATATTACGTTTTGTTTCCCAGGCTGTTGTTATGTGCATTTATCTGGAGATGGGGAAGGTGGAGTTGAAGGGGAAGGAGGTCATTGAACTCGGAGCTGGCACTGGATTGGTGGGCATTGTTGCAGCACTGCTTGGTGAGTTCACTGTCCAGGAAATATGAATACTGGTCATTCAATGTCCCATTTTTAGCCTAAATCATCATTTATTCACGTTTTAAATGAGATGCAAGTATAATTATAAGACATAATGGAGACATGTGAAATGGGACACCCTAAGCTATAGGAAGCTTGAGAATAGGGCCCGAGACAATAAACATTATATAGCAATAATACATATTGCATTGAGACGTCATGTATTATTCAGAGACAGTACAACCCTTAAGTCTGCACTTTGTCCTTTTCTAAAATCGTTATTCTTCTTGTGCAACCTTTCTAGGTGCAAAAATAGTGACCATCACTGACAGAGAGCAGGCCATGGACTTCCTGTCTGCAAATGTGAAGGCAAACCTACCCCAAGACACCCAGGGATCAGTGGCTGTGTCTGAGCTGACTTGGGGAGAGGGCCTTGAACGTTACACAGCAGGGGGGTATGATGTGGTGCTGGGAGCAGACATCGTGTACCTGGAGGACACCTTTGTGCCGCTGCTGCAGACTCTGGAGCACCTGTGTTCGGACACTTCTGTGGTTCTACTGGCCTGCAAGATCCGCTACAAGCGAGACACAGACTTTCTGAGCATGCTGAAGCAGCGTTTCACAGTAGAAGAAGTCTACTACGACAAACAGAGGGACATCCATGTGTATAAATCTTGGAAAGTGCCACCTCGGAGGGATTTGTGACATGAGTTTTCACTCATTCATTTGTAATAATTTGCTGTTTTTGCATAATAATCCAATAAAATATTCAAATATTACCAGAAACACATTTATTAAGAGCTGCCAACAATGTCAATATTTGAATAGCTCTAACATAATGCACTGTTTTATACAAGTTGGTGCTGACATTTAGAAAGTGTGAATACAAAATTAATGATAAGCAACATAAAAAAAAAGCATACTATGTCATGACTATACATAATACAACATGGCATTCCATTGTGATGACATTTATTCACGGTGAAGAAGTCCTTTTAAATTGCTCGCACTTAATCCTCTTCTTGATAGGTGCAATCCAGACGTTTTTGATGAGATTGGAAGCTCCACATAACTAAAACCGTCCAATCAAATGAATGATAACGCCTTGATCATTCATAAGCAGCAAAACACCCATGTACACTTTGTGATTAGCAGTGTTTTCCTGGTGTGAAATGTGGTAGGATTGCTTAAGCGAGGAAAGTGTGCATCCCACTTCCTGTAAACAGAATTTGGAGACAGCCTCTTGCTTATTCCTTCAGAGACCTGGACCCGCTACTGTACATAGACAGGTCCAGATATTCTTATTACACACCAACCTGAACCCCAGGACTTTTCAATTATACAGAATTCTCAATGTGACATTACATGTTCAAAGACAGTATAATAAACCAACATATAAAGCAATCTCTGATTCCAGTGACGGGCAATGAGTTTAAGAAATATGGAGACAAAGTATTTATTTCTTTGTAAAGAAGTAAGGCTCATTGTTTTTGATTTGCACTAAAAAAGAATCTAGGAATGAATGAAATCAAACTTTAAAAAAGCGGTGTTTTCCGATGATGTTCCGACACTTGGTTAGGATTACAGAATATATTGAGTGTTATGAACACTAGTGTATTAGGGGGGAAAGCCCTATTAAGTGGTCTAAAAATAACCCGGATGATATGCCCATTCTTAACAGGCACGTTTTTTAAAGTCATTAGTCTGTAAAAAATCCTTCATACAAAAACATTATTGAAAACAGTTTTATCACAAACTGTAGTTTAACCATTTGTTGGTTGACATACTTGCATGAGCTGCATTTCGATTTAATTAATCTGTCCCGAAATCAAAAACAATGAGCCTTCAGTAATATGTTTGTGAACATGCATCAGAAAGAAATCTGTAACCTTAAATGAGAGCTTTTGACTACTTTGCAATGTGTCGTTACAACCCAAACATACTGGTTACATTTTGTGTTCATCCCGTATCAAGGCAAAGTCCATTTAAAAAATAAAATGGCATTATGCAAGCAGATCATCTGATGCATAAAACAAAACGCAGCTAAAAAAATATCAAATGTCCCATGACCTGGCCCGTCTACATTTCAAAGCGTTAGTAAGTAACAGACGTTAATGCGAGTGATAGAGAGCGGTTTCGGTTTCAAACGTCGCTTCTCCCAAACAGTCTTGGGGAGATTCACCTGTGAAAAGGTCCTTGGCGATGGTAGTGCAGCCGCTCCCTGTTGCTGGTGTGTATCCAGGCACCGGTGACTGGAATGCTTCCCTTTGGTGACATCGCAAACAATAAGAAAGGAACATCCTCATTGTTCATTCAAGGACCCTGTTGCCTTTCTGAACATTCCTCCGACTTTTCATGTGTGTTTTCTAATCCCGGCGAGTCAATTTACTGCAGTTTTTAAAAAGAAAGCACAAGAGCAGAAAAAGGGGGCGTGGCACCGAGATGCATGGCTCCCGTGCCGAGTCTCTGTACATGGGGACAGACGCTTGCTTTTGCCCCGCGCCCCCCCTCTGGCAGGCACTTGCTGATGTTTCTACTCCGATTTGTGGCAGTATAAGTCTTTAAGGGCTTTCAGTTCCTCTATGAGGGTTTTGTTCTGGTTCTCCAGCACGGCCACACGGTTCTCCAGACACTTGACGTACTCCTTCTTCTTCCTGCGGCACTCGCGGGCTGCCTCCCTGCGTGACAGTAGGATATGTGTGAGTTTATTTCTGTGGTTAAGGTCTAAACATAAGCTACAATGACCTGTATGGCCTAGCTTCTTATATTTTGCATTGGCTATAACAGTAAAACAAAGCAATATTTACATGAAATACAAATAAAATTGAATAAAATAAACTTGCTGATATTGAATTTATTTCCAAATGCTGCAATTATGTGGATGTGAGACGTATTATAATGTATTTAAGATCCACATTTAATTCAAAATAGGGTGTACTTGCTTCATGATTATAAATAGATAATGATCGTGGCTTGTAATTGTCTAGAAATTACAATAAAATTGTTTATCGAAACTGATTCTGGGACAAGATATCGTCCAACAAAAGCAGTTACTGTGACAGGCCTAACTGTCACACCATCCTGAATGAATCACACCAACTACAATGCATTTACCATCTGACAATAATAGTTTACAGAGCAGCACCTGGTGTCATTTCATTTACTGAGCCAACATTGACAGTCAGCTGAAACCTGTCCTAAAGATGGTTATGTGACACTGAAGCATCTCAGGACTTGCAACCGTTTGCCTGGAGACAACACAGCGTTAAAAAGAAAAGTACAAAGTATTAAGTAGGGATGCACGATAATTATCGGCCTGATAATTATCGGTCCGATATTAGGAATTATGACGTCATCCCGATAACAGTATTAATAGCCCCGATAATATACAATATATTTTTTGGGTAAAAAAAAAGACAAAAATACTGCGGTGTGGGTGGATTGGGATGAGGGGCGCTTGTTTTTCACTCGGCTCCTCCCGTTTTGCCAGTACTGTGGTATTAGTGGTGTAGGAAGAGGGGAGTTTTTCACAAATCCAGCGCTCCCTAACTCATGCCTGGCTGTGACGTAAATGGTGTGCGGCCGTGAAGCCAGGACAGTAAACAAACATGTTGTCGGTGGTATGGGCGTTGGAGCTATGTGCAACTCAAGGCATATGCTCGAACCGGAGCTGCCTGGACGCTGCAATCATGTTGCGCACTATCCGAGCTGAGTGTGCTGACTTTTCGTACAATGTCCCACTGTCTGGCTTCCTGCATAAAGTCAAGTGCTCGGCGCAGTTGTGGCGAAATGTCGCTCCTCTGTTTTCATTTAAGCAGCTCCATATATCCATTAGCGCAGCTAGCTAGCACCAGATGCTAACAACAACAATGCACGTAAGGTCTCTCTCTCGCTCGCTCGGGCCACACATACACACACCCTCCCGGTCCTCCAGATGGCCGGTCGGTGCCTGCCGGTGAGCGTGGAAGTGTGGTCTGCCACAAGCGGGCAGCAGGAGCGGGGCTGTCAGCATCAGCTTGTAGATGGTATTTTAAACTCGATGCGCTCTGAAACTACGGGGCGGCCGAGGGAAAAAAATACACATGCGTTAATCGCGGTAAAATAATTAGTGGCGTAAAAAATGTTTTGTTATTGGTATCGGTCTTGAGAAGCAGGAAGTTATCGGTATCGGTTTCAAAAAAACAATATCGTGCATCCCTAGTATTAAGTGAACCTCGTGACACCCTTACCTGTTTTTCATTAGTCGGACCTCCCTTTTTCGCGTGACTTCCTCAGTGCCGCCTCCTCCTGTACCCATTACAGGCGAGGTCGCCATGACAACCCCCGATGAGATGGCGCTGGTGGGGGCTGTGCGGATCTGATAGGCCTGGACGTCCCCAGAGGCAGCTGACAGAGAAGAGTCACAGAAAGAAAAAAAAACCCCACTTTGACAGTTTTTCAAAACTCATGAATTCTCCTTTATAATGCTTCAGCAGAACATGTTTTTAATAGTTTCCCCACCTTGTACAACCACTTGGTTGCTAGGCACCAGGATCTGCTGCCCGTCGCTGGTCTGGGCGTATTGCAAGATGGTGGCCCCCGACTGGGCCGTGTTGGACATGGTCAGCGTCTGCAGGCCATCTGTGCCGTTATTGGCCAGCTGGATGGCCCCACCCTGGGTAATGGCAACTGCAGAGGGACATAATAGTGTTAGAATCAGTCTCAAATTAACTTAAACTCAACAAATCCACTGCATAGGATAGAGAAAGGGCAGCGCCTGATAGCAGGGAAGCTTGCATATTTCAACACAAACCACTTCCTGTTTTCTCAGTATGTAAAAGTACTCACTGTACTGGCCATTGCTGGTTTGATAGATGGGAGTGGGCATTGTAACCGTGGTGATGGCAGGGACTGAGTCGTCCTCTGACTTCTCTTCTTCGATTCGAGCCACTGCGGGAGGGTCCGACGATAAATCGTTCAAAATCTTCCTGTGGAACGGCACAATCGCAGAAATATATCAACAAGCTTTTCAAGGTTTTTGCATAAATGCAACAATAATTGGATTAAATTAAAAAGCATCAGTTATTATCTTTCTAAATTCAGACATAAAAACCCCAAAGATAAGATGTTACACAGACCTATAAGAAGGTCTTCTGGACAAGATCTCTCTCCTCTTCTGACAATCTGTCACGCTGTCAACAGATTCCTGAGAGTCCTCACTCTCAGCAACAGTTGAGATCTGTAAGCAAACAATAATCATTAAAGTCTTATTTTAACAGCTTATTTTTTTGGGACATTGTTACCTGAACAGTTGTCATTAATAACAACTGACTCGTTGTTAAACCAATGCACAGTGTTGAGCGCCTTTTTTTAAAAACAATAGCAAAAAGTCCATATTTGCGCTTTTCAAATCATACAAATTAATGTTTTCAGGTGCAAAGCAACTTTTAGAATTCGGATCAAACATGTTAGAAAATAGTGAACATTCTTTAAAGCTAAATGATTATGAACTGTAACAAATCAAATATCAATGCATAGGGGTTTTCTCTCACCTGTACTGTCTGGACTTGTGGAGACTGGATGACTGAGGGCTGAGCAGCTTGGATCACCCCGTGCACTTGCACTGTCTGACCGTTCGGTAACTGCACTAGAGTCACTGTAGGACCACTGGTTGTCACCTGGCCAGCTGCTATAGAAGCCTGCAACCATGACAACCCTGAGTCATTCCCTATCTGTGTACAAAATTCTCACAAGAATCAATTATTTTACATCAGGTATTATGTTTCTTATATTGAAACGTGTACATTTATTTTGTAAAGATTTACCTGGGCCAGAGTGATATGCTGGGTCTCAGACTCCGAGACAACTGTGTCACCACTTTGCTGTGTGTCTGAACCAGCCTCCATTGTCATTTAAAATCTGCAACAAGTAAGAAACTGCTTGTCATCATGTTTAAATAGGACTGTGCAGCACAAACAGTGAGAAAGAGGTCTTTGGTGTACAGAAAACACTCAGGAGGTTGTACCCTGTCCACCAGGCTTGTTGATGATGTAAAGGAGGGTGTGGCTTAGCTAAACATGCTAGCATACAATTCATAGGTAAAACATCGTATACGTCTTCGTAAAATAATGTGTCGCATGTTGTATTGACGTTCATCAACAATATAACATACATGTGCATATTTTAAACATGATACAACATTTTAATAAGGCTCGCACATTCCATAAACACAGAATGCTAAAGCTAAGTGCCTGACTAGCCATGTTCTCGAGTGTTACCAATGTACAGATAGCATGTAGCTAGCTAGCTTCAGCAGTATGAGCTTCATTGATTCTGTTAGCATGCTAACCAGCTAGCTAATGGAAGTGCATTGGATGCTAGTACATTTATTAAACATTAATCAAGGCTCTATTGCAACTCTTTATTTCCATTTTTAACAGCTTGTTTTGCAATATGGCAATTTGCTGTGGAATTACACAGGTTTTCAAATTAACATTACATTGAATTAATTAATAACGTTAGGTTGCTAGCTGTGAACATTTATGGAGGGAAATGTGTGCATGCATTGAATGCCAGTTATGTTTGCAACTAGAGATTTTTTCTCCCACTTTCACTTACCAGTGGTTGGAATATGTTCACGTAAGGTTAGTATTAGAATACATGCATTTGCTTGAATAATTGCTTCTGTGACTTATTTATAAACAATGTATTAAAAGAAAAGAACATTCAAGCCCACTCCCATATTAATACCTATGTCTCAGTTGTGCTGCGAGCCTTGCAGAGAGAGACTGACTCATTTTGAGAGCCTCTGCAACACCGCCGCCATGATCTCTTTGTTGGCATTGAGCGGATATTAGGCGAAAATAACTTCTCTGGGCAGCCATCTATCTGTTTAGCAAACATCGGATGCGTATCCTCTTACCAACACAGACTCGCTTCGTCACTCCCGGGTCTACGGAGCTCCACTTTTATTCAGACCGACACGTAAGAGACCGCGTCAGGCTACACCTCCGTCGCGTCACCGAGAACAACAACACGGAGAGGAGGACGAGGGAGACGACGACAGCGAAAATCAGCTTTGTCGACAGGACCCGACCGAGATACGGAGATATCCGGAAAGTCACGGAAGTTGCCGAGGTAAGGCTGAAAAACCACGGAGGTAGCCGAGAGAAGTGCTTGAGTTTGTGCAACTCATCTGAGCATGCGCCAAGTTTTTAAGTATAAATCTATTTTAAAAAACAAAATAACTCATATATCTATATATAAGGCATTTTGGAGAACCATGGACATGTAATACATAGTTCACTGCTATCATTTTTAACTGTGATATGAGAAACTATACTTTTATAATAATGTAATGATTTTTGTGTGCAAATAGATTTTTAAACAATGCGAATGTTTTAAAACCTTGCAAAAATGATTTACTGAAATTCAAACATATAAAGCTTTCTGACTATACTGTTAATCAAGAGATGTGAAACAGAGGCACCTAAACACCCATATTGATTTCAACAACTAATGTACCATTACGTTTACAAATACACTAACATTTCATTTCAAAATTACATGAAATATCGTACCTAGAATTATTCTTTTAATAGGTCAATTCATGTCACGTGTACATGATCACATGTTCGATTTTAAAACATTTTTATTTTCTGTAAATATCTTGCATATTGTTGAAATTGCAATTATCTTATAATCCACATGGTGGCAGCAAAATCCTTCTTTATTTATTCCATGATAGTCAGCATTGCCCCATTATGTTACACTTGGCACATGTCTCATTTATCCCAGCCTGATATGATCTGTGAATGGCACTGATCTTAACTGTGACACTGGCTTTGTCCCACCAAACCATATTGTGATTTTAATGACAAACCAGTGGGCTACAGCCCTGTATTACTTATTATGTGTTCTCTTTACTGCCCTCGTGATTCACATTACATTTGCTTTTCCTTGGTCGTCGAAGCTGGCCATAAAATGTACTCATTAACTGTGTCACTTGGTGTATGTGAGGAGGACCAGTGCTGTAGGAGCCAAATGGGTTCTAAGCTGTGGCAGCTGGTCAAAATCCTGCGGGGAAAATGAGACTTCAACCCAATTTACGACCATCATCTCTATGTACGAGGTCATTTCGGAGGCCTTTTAATACGCACACACACACACGCACGCACGCACGCACGCACGCGCACGCACGCACACACACACACACACACACACACACACACACACACACACACACACACACACACACACCACACACACACACACCACACACACACACACACACACACACACACACACAAGTCAAACATACCCATCTTCACCTATCGAGTGATTGACTACACCACTGGTGCAAGCATACTCACTGGTGACCCAACCAATATTGTGTCCTCTACCATAAAACCTGGATGTGTAGGCAACAAAAGTATTACATTTTGCTATTTTCTTATCAAAGTAAAGCACCAATAATGTACCGTGCAGTCGTCTTCTCGTCATTAAAACCCTTTTATAGCAAATATCATATATATGTGTTGCAATCCAGCCTTCTTATCCGTTTCTGAGTCCATGTCAATAACCTGATTGGACATTGATTCCCCTTAATAATGACCAGCAGCTAGGATAGCCTATAGGCAGACCATAATTAGCCTATGAGTGGGGAGGTGTCATTAGTTATCACTGAATGTGCACTTGGCTCTGCAAGCTGTGCACATTCAGATCATTTGCAGTGTTGCTTTTCCCTCCCATGTGAAAATAAGTCTTCAATCTATATGCATGTTGTGCACATTTGATCAATTTTGCACAATTCTTATTCCCAAGATACACTTATATCAAGGTTGCCCGCAATAATAATAATAATACCATAATCTAAAAAGCTTTTGCAATTTTTCATTAATGTACATCTGCTATCATTATTTATGTAAAAGATGGAAAAAAACAGAACATATTCACATATCTGTCATATTTTGGCCATTGTGTTTTATTTAAAATGTAGTCCATTAATTGTCTGTGTATCCACTAATCTTCTCCGCAATGAATATTGTATAAATACATTTTAATTCTGTCTCTAAATCCAAATCTTTTCATGTTTCTCAGTTGAAATCACATGAACGCACAAACACAATCAGCCCGTGCTTGCATTATTCACTTCTTTATCACATCACCATCACATTGGAGTGCATATCAACATTGTCAGCGCGCCTGGTGATTACAGCAAATGTACGACTCGGACTGCTAATGCTGGCGAGTTCTGGCACGGAATATCTGATTGCACGCTTTACCAGCAGCAACTAACCCTGGCTGTAAATCACTGCAGAAAACACCCACAAACAGCCGAGTAAAAATCATGCCACAGACGTCCAAAATGGTGTAGGAGGAGGAGCAGGATAGGAGTTTAATCTTCAGAATATGAAGTAGAGACCTGACTCCAATCCATAGCCCTTTCCTTTCCCCTTAAACCCAGCTGTCAAAGCCCCTGGCTTAACACAAGCCTCCAAAACCCCATCGACAGCAAGCCCTATGACACTTCTTCTCCCCCAATTTTTCACTTCAAGTCCTATTTTCTCTTTCCATATGTTTCAATTTTTTTTTTAAATCACGACCTTGTCTAAATCATCATCTTGGGTGTGTGTAACAAGCACACACAATAACATGCATGACATATTCCGTCAACATTTAAATGCAGTCTTCAATCAAACCCTGTGGAAATATCATACCTGCCACTCAAGCAGGGCATTATGGGAGATATGGGTTCATATGTGCAGGAGGGAATATGAATACAGAGGGGGGAAAACATGCAGTGCATTTGAATACCACTGACCTTATATGCATGCTTTTCTTTGTACGTGGAATTACCTGAATCGCATATGAACCAGTGCACCTGGCAGACGTTGCCATGGATACCGGGCCCCCACAGTGTGTCTATTTCTCTCTATCATGCACACACAAGCGTGCTTCTCAAACCTGAAGTTTTCTGAGATATCTAGGGAAATTTTTTGAGGTGCAGTATGGAGCTGCAGCTGCGAGGCAGGAGTTATCTAATACACCAAGATTGTGCTGACCCAGACCTCTTGCTAATCTTGGCTGGAGGCAACACCGTGTGTTGGGCGATCTCAATCAATCCGTCAAGGTGTCAGCTCCACCCTCCCCTCGCTATCTCTGCCTCCTGCAAGGATTTTTCACCCGCTCCCTTCCCCCTGCTGCACCTTCCAGCCAACCATGCCTTCTCTTCCCCTTTCTTTTTCAAAGGTTATACTTAAGGGTGTTTTCTTGATACAATACCCGCATGTACGGAAGGCTATTTGTGCCAGGCATAAGGGGGGGAAAATAAGGGGATGGAGACTTTTTTTAATATTGGCATTTCACCAGACAAAATGTCAAGTATTAGGTCAAACTTTAGTTATATTTGGCTTACGTAGTATTTTCTTTTCTTTTCCAACGGTTCATGTTTTAACATTCATTTTAACTTTCTTCTTTGAAAAAAAATGTAAACTTAATTTTCAAACTTTCTTCTCCAAGTGCAAAATAACCAAAATCTTGCTCTTCACTTTGTTCTCCTTATGTCTGGCCCTTCTGTACACATGCCCTTAAGTACATTGCAAATCGTTTTTGGTCATTGTGATTATTCCTCCTCCAACTAAATCCACAGTCCTTGTTCTGTGCAAAAATTAATTCTGCCGAATATGAAACTTTTGCAGTCTTAGTTTGACAAATAAGGAGGGACACTTCCGAAGTTAGGGTATTTTATTCATGATTTTCAGAACAAAGATGCCCTGACAAATCCACCAGCACAGGTAGTATGAGAAAAATAAAGAGCTTTTTGAACATTAAAACATGGAGACATGTCACAGTAGTGACACTAAATACAAATATGAACCTGAAAATGACCACAATAGGTGTCGGTATTGGCAGATACTCTAATTTAAGATATTTCCAACACATCTCAGATACAAATAGCAAATAAGAATAACATATATTTAAGAAAAAAAAGAAGCCTAACAGACACTTGGCAGTGAAGAGTGCAAACTTGAATTGTTCATCCTGTCACTCTCAATATTTTCAGCTTTGCAGCATGTGTAGTTTTCTCCTTTGACTGCCACAGAGTTTGAAGCTGGTCTCAGGTGTTTCTTTATCGGCCGTGTTTGTCTTCACACAGGTAGACGGGCTCTTCCCACTCTTTGCCACGTTCGTCAAAGAAATTGGACTTCTGAAGCCATCTCGTCTGGTGAGGAAGTGCCGGCTGATACTGGGCTTCTGTGGAGAGAGATAACTGCTCATTCAGGTATTCAAACAAACACCTAAGAAGCTCTTCAACGTAGATATTACATGTTTAAAATACTCTATGATGCAGCCAAGCAAGTCGATTTAAAGGGGACCTATCATGCAAAATGCACTTTTTGATGTCTTTTATACATAAATAAATATGTGTCCCCGGTGTGTCAGGGAACTCACGCAGCATCAGAAAATAAAACCCTCTCTCTTTTCCTCTGTACCCAAATCTCTAAAAACGGGGGTACAACGGAGCAGATCCAGATATGCGTCCGATATGACGTCATATCGGCAATGCAGACCCACAGCACTATCAGAAACGTTGCTATCAGAACAACCCTGTCTCCTAAAAATTACGTTCCCACAGAACTAAACTGCATTCTTACGGAGCCCCCTAGGGGACATGGAGAAGAAAAAAAAAAAATATTTGAAAAAATTAAAATCTCCGAGATCTCGCAAAACCTTTGCGAGATCTCGCAAAACCTTTGCGAGATATCGCAAAACCTTTGAGAGATCTCGCAAAATCCCTTTGCGAGATCTCGCAATACTTTTGCGAGATCTCGTAAAACCCCGTTGCAGTTTGTAGACGGTCCCTTAGCACTCCTCTCCCTCCTCCAGCTGCAGATTGTGACCAATTATTGATGTTTAGCTCGGACGACGGCGCGTATCGAACTGTTCTGATAAAAACAACTCTGTAGCTCGTTGTCTACCTTGCTATGATTGTAAAGTCATGTTGTTTGTATTTTTACAACGTTATGTTCATGAGTTATTGATCCGCGAAATTCG